CAACATGAAAAAAGATAGTACACCACCCAGACAGAGGTGAGGACACATCTGATAACAGGTGCAATGAGTGTTTAACATCATGTGTATTTATGGTATATTAATATGTATTATGTGTATTTATGGTGTTATAGTTTTATCAGTTCAACTCAGAGGTTTTAGGAATTACCTCCTCATTGAACTTTGGTCATTGATGTCTGGGCATACCCCCAAAGCAAGGATGGATTTTGCTATATACTTCTTTTAAGACAGTTATTCATCCTCTTTGTCCCACAAAGTTTCAGGGCATAGAAAAATATATGTAAGTTATATGAAACAATTTCACATGAATGCCCTTACCTCAAATCCTAGTAGGGCTATGGGGAGAGAAGGTGTTTTTATGTGTGTATTTGCTTTTTTGTCACTGTGACAATACACCTGCAACAAGATCAACATAAGGGAGGAAGCATTTATTGTAGCTCACAATTTCAGAGCTGTCAATCCAACCATGCTGACCCCATTGTTTCTGGGTTTGTGGTGAGAGAGTATATCATGGTGAGAGGATATGGTAGAGCTGATTCACTCTTCTCATGGCAGCTAGGAACAACAAAACATTCCACGAAGGAGACATAAACAAAATAATCTTCAAAATCATGCCTCCAGGGAACCACTTCCTCCATCCTGGGTTAAACTACCACAGTTACCTGATAAAACAAGGCCCATGCCTGCTATCACCACTCTTAAGACAGGCACACTGCTACCTATATCCAAGAAATGCCCCTAAACCAGTCCTGACTCCCCACTTCAGTGGTAGGTGAAATTGGAAAACTGTAATATAGCCCCCTCCTGCCAATTCAAAATGACCATCATGAAGGGCTCATTCTGTGGAGAGACACTATGAACCCCCAGCTTGATCCAAACCAAGCTTAAATTGTCATAGATACCATTGGTAGCACTCAGAGCTCTCTTGGTGAGGCCCTCTTTCAAATTATGGAGTGTATTCCCACTTTAGTCTTACTTTTACTTTAGTGAACCTGTGCTTTTCTCAAATTTCCTGTGTGCATTTCATTCACTTGTATGTTTGAGGCACCAAGAGCCTAGGATAATACCTAATTGAGACTTCCTATAGTGTATTTGCAAGTTCAGACCATCAGAGGACTAAACAGTTGATCAGACCGTGCTTGTTAACACAAGCCTACAAGAATAGCTGTGGTGGCTAAGGCTGCAAAACCATGAGTTTGAAGCTGACGTTGGCTGTCTCATACATAATCGTTGATGAGATCAGAGCCGAGACAATCTGTCTCTAGAAACATTCTCACAGACATACACACAGAGGTGTGTTTTAGTAATCACCTTGGCCAATCCAATTCAATCCAATCCAGTCAAGTTATACATGTGTGCACATATCCATAAAATCTATGTTTGTGTTTAGTTGAGTTAGAAAGTAAGTTTCTGACTGTAAGTGAAATGTGAAATGAAGTTCAACAGTGGATTATGAAATGTGAGATCACTTGGCAAAGGCCAATCTGCCCAAATCACTGGATGTTAAAAAGGTGTTTAAATTTAGACAATAAATTAATTCTAAAAGTGATAATTTGCTCACTAACCAAATGGGGGTAATGAAATACTTATATCACAGCAGTAGTGAACATTAAAATAATAGTACAAACATGAAAATTTTAATAAGCATCTACAAGAAGAGATATGGTCCTTGCTTTTGTTGTTATTGCTACTGTATTATTTTGACATCTTGGAAAAATTACCTATAACGATGTATATAAATCAAAAAATAAAAAAGCTGCATCTTTAAAGTAGGTTCCCCTTAGGGGAAAGGGAAGTTCTTCTGTCGTACACCCCTCAGTATACACTTCCATCCAATGTGTTATTAATGGAACTTAGAAAGGTAGTATAGAGTCATAACTAGAAATACTTCTCTTGGATACGACTTCTTGCCGCTATGATATGGTCCTTGTTTAGCCCTGTTGAATTCTATCATATGATAGATACATACATACATACATACACACACACACACACATACATACATACCACAATTTTAGAAGTATGAAAAAAAGGTTGCCATGAGGACAATCTGGTGGGAAGTGTATTAAAATGGAATTTGCAAGAATTACTAAAAAGAAAAATTTGCCCGCGTTCATAGGAGGCCAAGACCCCTTCCCCCCCACCCCCCACAAGATGTAACGGGATTAGTGTGCTCACATGTCCAGGTCCACAGCTGGTTCCCTATGAAGAGACTCCTAGAGGAGGAAGGGAGGGGAGGAACCTGAGGGCGGAGGAGGTGGGGATATTCACTGTATTATGCTGGAGGAGTCATCTCCACCGCCCGGAGGGGTCAGCTCTGCAGAGCCCCGATGGTGCCTTCAGCCTGACCTTCACCTGTCTTGCAGTTCAGGAGATTCAGGCAGGCCCTAGAGGACAGGGTGGAGGTTCAGCCGGGAACTGAGTTGAGGCCACTGCAGGAGGCCAGAGAGCACTCCAGAGAACCCACCTCCACCCCTCTCATTGGCCGCGGGAGGACCCGTGCAGGGAGCGGATGTGACCTCACCACTTCTGCCCCGAGGTGTCTGTCTGTTCCACTGGCTTCCTGTCCGTGATCGGTTTGAAAGTCCCTCTTGTCAGTCCCTTTGGGATCTGGAGGAGTAGGAACTTGCTCTGAGATTTGTGGAAGGACGACTCACTGGACCCTGAGGTGAGAGCGGAGGGCGTTGTGAGCAAGCCTCCAACCCATCTGCTGATGGACGTTGCTAAGTAATCCATCATGGTCTCCTTTGTTCTTTTTATTTTTGGGGTCCGGTTGTGGGGCCTGAACTCTGGGCCTGGGCGCTGTCCCTCAGCTCTTCAGCTCAAGGCGAGCGCTCTACCACTTGAGCCACAGCGCCACTTCCGGTATTCTGGTGTTTTATTGGAGATAAGAGTCTCAGGAACTTTTCTGCCGGGGCTGGCTTTGAAGTGTGAACTACCTGTGCCCGGCTCCTCCTTGAATTCTTTTGTGCAGGTCCTGCAGCTTGAACTCACTGCCTGGGTGCTGTCCCTGAGCTTTTTATGCTTAAGGTTAGCACTCTACCACTTGAGCCACAGCGCCACTTCCGGCTTTTTCTGCTTATGTGGTACTGGAGAATTTAATCTAGGGCCTCTAACTTCCCAGCCCCCCTGTCTTCTCTTCTAGCCTGGATACCACTGAGTTGAGGTTCTGAGGGAGGCTAGAGGGGACGCAAGAGAACCCATTTCCGTTCCTCAGATCAGCTATTGGACGATTCGCACACGGAAGCGGATGTAACTACCACTTCCGCCCCAGACGGGAGAGCCGTTAGAAGTCTCTAACCGGTGAATGTACTTTGAGTCTGTAAATTGGCGCAGTTCTCAACTAATTCCTGTGTTTCCACTTCTCCCTCATCTTTCAATCCTTCCCTCCCTCCCCCTTCTTCTGCCTGAAGGAACCCTGGAAGACACAGTGTTGGTGTAAATTCTTCGGAGTTAAGAAGTTTGTAGTCTCTAAAGGATCAAGGTGAGATATGAGGCTGGACAATGGATAACTCCCCAAAGAGGGCCCCAAATACCTTCCCTTTGTTGTCATCTGAGCCCTACATGGGGATGTGTAGCAAAAACAGCACCACCACGCCTACTTTGGGAGTCACAGCCTGAGACATAAAGAGTTCAGGAAGACACAGGAAACTCTCCCTTCGTTTATATTTCGAAATAATCGAGCCCAGCCTCCCATTTTTACCCCGGGACCACAAGAGATCCAACTAACCAGTATTATATGTCCCTGCCATCATCCACCCCTCCCCTATTCCTTTCACCTCAGGTAACCATGGGAGATAAGAGTCTTGGTCTGAGGTAAATAGACGGTCAAAGTGCTGCACACTGTGGGGTCAAGGTGAAAGCTGAAGAAAAATCAAAGTGAAATCCCTATTGTGAGGTTACTAAATAATTTAGCCCTGCCTTTGCTTCGTGCCTCAGTCCCAGCAGGACCACAAGGGACCCTCTCATTAAGCTAGCCTGGCCCCACCCCTCCCCCATAAACTACATCCTTACATTTGTCCCCCAGCTCTAACAGAGGTGTAAGCTGGCAGTGAGAGGAGCCATTGTTGGACCACAGAAAGTGTTGCCTAGGATGTGCCAGGAGTGAAGGTAAGAACTCAGTAGTTCCACTATCCACAAGGGGCCACAAAGAATTTCTCCATCTGGCAGTTGTCCCAGGGCAAGTGTGCCAAGATATAAGGTCCCCTCACTAACTTTTGCTCCACTTCAAAGAGGTGAGACCTTATTCTAACAGTTTGCCTCAGGCCAGCTTAAGTGGAGGATGATCTCAGCTCTGCTAGGATAAAGTTGATAACCAGAATAAACACAGGGGACCTTCTTCTCCTTCCCACAAACCAGTATGGATCTCAAAGACAGGAAACTTCTCTCCCATTGCATTGAAGTCACAGTGATGTCCTTTAAAGATGAAGACATACGTAGAGATCAAGTGAGGACTGCTTGGTGTCTCTGCCAAGAGCTCCAGGGCCAGAAGTTGAGAACATGTTTCCTTTGATTAAACAGCAGATGACACTCAAGAATCAATATGGGGTTACACCTTGAAAGTTTACCATGGTCCCCATCTATCCAAAAACATAGTACTCAGCATATTGTCTAGCTTCACATGCTCTTCTGACACCTGTCAATTCTCACACAACCACTGGCACTATTAGCATCTTACTTGTTTTCATACGCTCTCATGGGACAAGACCAGCTAGGAAATGTGTGACCCTAAAGCACCCCCCAAACCAAAGTCCAGTAATAGGCTTTTTAGTAGTAGACTTTTGTGAGAGCTCCTAAGGCTACAGTTCTCAGCTTAGGTCATGCATATGTTCCCTCTCTCATCTAGGTCTTTGAAGCCCCATCACTGAAGTCCTGCAAACTGTGACCTCTGTTCAAGAAAAGTCATGCAGCGTCGTGCTCAGAAAGGCCAGCACAGCAAGCGTGCACTTGCCCCTAGGGCTCAAAGGCAGGCACCCAGCCCAATGATACAACTAATTCCTATTGCATTAGATGTGTCCGCTTTTGCTGCCACCTCTTTTCGCCCCACTCTGATCCCCATCACCCAAAATGGGTTGCCTGCTGAGATCCAGCATGGTTTCCAGAGTTCTCAGAGAGTGTTAGCTACCCCTGTGCGCTTGTGCTCCCTTCTGTATGGCCACTTCAGTCAGGCTTCCTGGACCCAAGAAAACCTGTGTCTCCAGGGTAGCATGATCGATCCTGAATCTTTGCAGGAGGATGCATTATCTTTAGTGCTCCTCATGATCCTCAAATATGAGAAACATGAGGTGGTTACCAGGGCAGAAATGATGACCTGCATCCTCAGAAGCCACTGTACTTATTTTCCTGTCATCTTTAGTAGAGCAGTTGATTGTATGCAGCTGGTATTTGGCATTGATGTGAAGGAAGTGGAGCCCAACAGCCACTCCTACATCCTTGTCATTACCCTGGGGCTCACCTATGATGGCATGCTTAGTGATGTCCAAGGCATGCCAAAGACTGGCCTCCTGATAGTCATCCTGGCCATCATATTTATGGAGGGCAACCACGCTCCTGAATCTGCAGTCTGGGATATTCTTTGTAAAATGGGTGTGTGTGTTCAGCAGAAGCATGACATCTATGGAGATCCCAGAAAGTTAATAACAGTAGATTTTGTGCAGGAGCAGTACCTAGAGTACCAGCAGGTGCCCAACAGTTTTCCTGCCCGCTTTGAGTTCCTGTGGGGCCCAAGAGCCCATGCTGAAACAACCAAAGTTAAAGTCTTGGAGCACTGGGCTAAGTTTACTGGGTGTGATCCCAGATGCTTTCCATTCTTATATGAAGAGGCTTTGAGAGATGACCAGCAGAGCACCCACACATGAGTAGTAGTCATAGACGTATTGTGGTGGGAGACTCATTAATTTCCAATAGCAGCTCCTGCTCCATGTTACATGAAACCATTTTTTTTACTTTGTATTTAAAAAGTGAGAGCCTTCTTAGTAGAGCCCAGGACCTGTTGAGGGGGAAGTGCTGCGTACAATTATGTCATTCTGTTGTATTTGTGTGACTCTCCCTTTCAATTGAATGTTTATCTGACTTCAGAATGGAAAATTGTAAATGACAATAGTCACATCTATTTGCTGTTAATATAATTTAGGAGTGAATCTTCCTAATTTTTCAACCAGTTGTCAAAACAGAAGACTTCAACATTATATAAAGAAATGGATAAATGAAATGTTAATTCTTGACTTCTTCAATTGTCTTCCCTGTGACATTAAAAAATATGTATGTTGACCTGGATTTTTCTGGGCTCTAACTTGAATGTACATGAAAGTAAATCTTAATAAATGTGTTCCCCAACTTACTGTTCCATTCATTCTTCACCCCTTCATTGAACACCTGCTTTCTGGAAGATGTTTGATTACTGGCGGAGGTATTAGTAAATTGGGTTTGGTCCGGCCCACATTTTCTCATAGGATGATGGTGTCTAGGAGCAGCACTCACGTCAGGGGGTGTTGAGATGTCCTCAAAGATGAAAAGAACACATGAAGTAGGGATGAGGAGGCAGGGATCCAAGGACAGCAGCCCATGGTCAATGTCCATAGCCAAGTCAGGCTCCCATTTGTGGAAACTCTAATTCTTTGTGTGCGAGTTTACTGCTGCAGCATGGGTCACATCCTAGGATGAAGTATCGTCAGCCTGAGAGAATGGGAGGCTGCTCTGTGCAGCTCCTTTTGAGTGCAAGGAAGAATGTCTTCCTGGGGCACATATGTGAAGTGCAAAGGAAGTAGGTGAATTATCTGACCACGTAAGGTCTAGAAGCTCCTGTCCAAGTGCTCTTCTGGGTGGGTTGATGAGCCAGAACACACTATTAAAATAACATTTTTATTCTGTTATATTGAGTGTGATTTGACCCACTCTAAGCAAATACTAGATTTTAGTGCAGTGGGGGAGGGAGGCTGGTACTAGGACTTGAACACGGTGCCTCATGGTCTCACTGGAGGTTTTTTTTTTTTTTTCTCACAGTTGACACTCTACCACATGAACACCTAAGGTCTGACATTTTCTTCCCAGGTTGGGTTTAAACATTAAACCTATGTATCTCCACTGCCTGAGTAGCCTGGATTACAGGCATGAGTCACCAGCTCATGGGGGAATTTCCTCCAATCAATTTAGTAAGGGACTGGGTTAGAAAGAGCCCTCAGGTCTCATGTGGAGAGCATGCTGTAACCACTCATCCATCCTAGCCTAGGGCCAACCTTCTGACTCACAGTCCATGTCTCTTCTCAACATTACACAATGTCTCTGTAGTGACCAAAGAAGGGCCTTTAAAAGGCCAACACATTACAAACAGCCATAAACAAGTAACAGTGCAAAGCAAACACTGTTGCCTGCAGTTGGTTCCTAAAATGTGATTCTTCCCACATGTGGACATTTCTGTCAATTCTTCCCTGATTTACAACCTCTTTCTCTTGTTCATCCTCCATGTGCCCTCCCTTCCAATGCTACACCGCTTTCCTGATTCCTAGCTCTTCCAGACCCACTCCTCTGGAGGCCATAAAGAGTCACATGTCCTACCCTTAACACAGAGCATTGATGGGCCTTGCAGAAACCCCCACCAGCAAGGAAGTCAGACCTGAAGACCAGTGCATCTCAGAAAAGGTCTTTATGGAAAACAAAGGCCAGAAAGGGAAGGAGATCAGCCCCTGATACTTAGACTAACAACAGTAATTTAACCAGGTAAACAAAAAAGCTCACCCACTTGGGCCCTCAAGGCAGTATTCATGTCTGTCCTTCTCATGCCTGTAATGTTCTGTAATGGTCTGTGTTGATCTAATATAAGCAACATCTTTTCCATATCTGAGTTTGTTTCTGATAGTTACTCCCTTACTTCCTTCTGTGGGAATTTTTTTTTGGATGCTGGTCCTGGGACTCGAACTCAGGGCCTCAGTGCTGTCTCTAAGAAATTTTCCTGAAGGGTGGCACTCTACCACTTCAGCCACAGCTCCACTTCTGGAGTTTTTGGTAGGTTAGTGGAGATAAGAGTCTTATGGACTTTTCTCCCCAGGCTAGTTTTGAACCACCATCCTAAGATCTTAGCTTCCTGAGAACCTAGGGTTATAGATGTGAGCCACCAGTGTCTGGCTCCTGTGTTTTTAATCTCTTAGAATGCATTGTAAATTTTTTGAAATCAAGACTCAATGTATTGACTACAAGGTATAAAAGAAACAAAGCTTCAATGTGAGTGTGTTCTCTTTCTGACTAGGAGGTAGGCAGTGTTAACTTTTTGTTGATATGAGAGACAGAGTCTTTATTAAGAAAATTCTGGCCTGTGTCAAGGAGCCCTAGGATTTTTCCTGTTCCTGTCTGTAAAGTTTTCAGGGTATCTGCTTTGACATTGAGGTCTTTGATCCATGTGGAATTGATGTGGTGCAGGGGGATATATGGGGATCTAGTTTTAGTTTTCTACAGGTGTTTAACCAATTTTGCCAGCACCATTTACTGAAGAGGCTATCTTTCTTCCAATCTATTTTTTAGCTCCCTTATCGAAGATTAGGTGGCTATAGGTCTGTGGGTTCATTTCTGAGACTTTAGTTCTATTCTATTGGTCTTCACGTCTGTTCTTGTGCCAGTACCAAGCTATTTTGATTACTATGGCTTTGTAGTAGAGTTTGAAATTTGGTATTGACATTCCTCTAGCACTGTTCTTTCTGCTAAGGATCGTTTTTGCTATTTGGGGTCTTTTATTGTTCCATATGCATTTTGGGGTTGCTTCTTCTATTTCATTGAAGAAAAAGGTTGGACTATTGATAAGTATCGCATTGAATTTGTAGCTAGCCTTTGGCAGTATTGCCATTTTCACGATGTTAATCTTTCCAATCCAGGAGCATGGGAGGCATTTCCACTTCCTAAGTTCTGCCTTAGTTTCCTTTTTTAGGTTTTTAAAGTTTTCATCATAGAGGTCCTTCACTTCTTTAAGTTAACTCCTAGGTATTTTATTTTTTTTGTGTGGGGCTATTATTTGCTTTCCTGATTTCAGCTGCACTCTTCTCATTGTTGGCACATAGAAAAGCCTTTGATTTCTGAGGGTTAATTTTATACCCTGCTACTTTGCCAAAATTTCAAATCAGCTCAAGTAATTTGGGAGTGGAGTCCATGGGGTTCTTTAAATACAAGAGATAAAGAGATTAAACTTCCTGCCACTGCCATCTCCTTTTTGTAACTGTCCAGTTGCCTAGGCACACTAAGGACTCCTTTTCCTCTTCCTCCTCCCTTTTTCTTTCTTTTTGTCCTTCTTATCCACCTCCTCTTTGTTCTTTATCTCTCTTTCTTTGAGGTAGGTTCTTGCTCTGTAATTCAGGCTGGTGTCGAACTCATGTAGTCCAGGCTAGCAATGAACTTCAGATTCTTTTTCCTCAGCCTCCTGAATGTGGGGATTACAGCCAGGCACCACTATTCCTGGTTGAAGATTTCTTAAATGAGGTAAAAGATTTACAGTTCCTTCAGTTCTATTCCCATGCTATTTCAAAGGAGCCCTACTGACATAGGATCAAGTTGTGGGAGAGAGGAAGAATTTTAATACCCTTCTGGAGGTCTCAGTCTTTTTGCTAGCCTGTGCCCAGGGACAGTGCTTTTCATTCCCTACACCTAAACTTCTTATGTTGGAATCAGTGTTCTTCTCAGGAGTTGGATTCCCTGTCTGGAGAGCTTTAGGTGTCTTCCCAGTTGTTGCAGATGCTGCCAGGACAAGTTGGAGGCAGGGTCCTCAGGATCCAAATATGCTTTGTCTCATTCCCTGTATCCTGTAGAGGCCACCTTCTTCATCATTGGTGGACTGTAAAGGGTGGACTTTTGCACAGATCTCCTTCTTTAGACACAATATGAGAACTTTCAAATCTAGGCCACTTTGAGGCCAGGCTGGTAGATAGAAGAGAGAAAAACTAATACAAGAACTTCACCAGCATGGTGATCTTACTCTAAATGCTACTTTCCTAATCTCCCACTAACACCTATTCTTCATGAAATGGAACTTCTGATTTTACTGTAGTGCTAGACTTGCAGCAAAAGTGCAACGTGTTTCTATTACCAAGCGTGGTAAATGACACAATTCACTGCAAAGGTCAGTGGTGAGGATTATATTGGATGTTTGCAAAGCACTGCAAAGAGTCCTTGAGATCTAGATAGTACTCATGAACTTGTGAAAGCCTTTCCATTCTTCTCAGCAGTGTCCCAATCTACAACAACTTGGGTAGACTATGGAGGGGCTGAGTCCCCAGCACCAAATGGGGGACTCCAAACCATTAAATCAGGTTTGAAAGCCTGCTGCACTAGGGAAAGCAAGAGGAATTACAGAATTAACTCATGGCTACAAGTCATCCTAGCAAAATGGTATTGCACACAATCAGCAAGAAGAAAGATGCATACCAGGAAGTCTAAGGCAATCAGACATGTTTCCAAAAGGGTCACAGTGGATACACGTGATTCCTCCACAAATGGAGGCCAGGCATATAGAATGTTGCCATCCAGTAGAGCTCACAAGAACCGCAGCACCCAGTTTTCCTGAGGGTGGTCAGGAGGTCTATTCTTCCCTAGCAGGAATCAAGTTCCAGGTCCCCTGTGAAAGTCTCTTCGTGTGATCCTCTCTTTCTCATCCTCACCTATTTTGTAATATTCCAGTTCTCATAGGTTGGCAGTCACTGCACAGGAAACACTTCCTCCCATCCCGGCAATAGCACTGAGAGAGAGCAACATCCACACTGGAGACAGGGCACTCCATCCTACTTCTACCTGACATGAAGCCTCATGCTTGCTATACTCCAGCCTGAAAGCACATTTGGATACTTTTACAAATGCCTTTTCTCAACAGTTGGACTATGAATTG